CATGGTGCAGAGGAAAGGAGGCTAGATTTAGAGGATTTTTGTTAAAATCCTGCTCTGTCACTTGCTGCCTGTGTAATCTTGGGCAAGGGCTTCAATTTCTTTATCTGCGAAATTAAGAAGTTGACTTTTATAACCTCTAAAGTGACTTCTTGCTCTAAATCTCTGATCTTAAGATTGGGTTGAACTGCTGTAGATCAGAGCTCCCCCTCCCCCTCCCAAAGAACCATTCCATATAAAAAATAGTATTCTTCCTTTTTGGGGGGAAGGTGAGGCAATTGGGGTTAAGTGACTTACCTAGGGTCACACAACTAGTATCAAGTGTCTGAGGTCACATTTGAACTCAGGTCTTCCTGACTCCAGGGCTGGTGCTCTATCTACTGTGCCAAATAGCATTTTTTTAAGACAAAAAAAAAAAGAAAAAGAAAAAGAATAAGCAATCAGCATAACTAGTCAATGTATAAACGTATACAATGTATAAAAAGAATATGTGCAACGTACAACACTTATAGACCTCCTACCTCTGCAAAGGAATGGAGTGGGAAAAATTTCATAGCTCTTCTTTCAAGCCATTGCTTTATAGTTTTGTAATATTGACTCTTGATTTTGGGGGTCATATGATTGTTCTTTTCATTTACCTTGTTGTTGTCATTGTTGATATCATTTTCTTGGTCCTGCTTATTCCACTTTGCGTCAGTTCATGTGGATCTTTTCAGGCTTTTCTGTATTCATCATATTCACTCTTTCTTACAGCACAGTAATAGTCTATTACATTCATATATCACAATTTGTTTAGCCATTTTACAGTTGATGGGCATCTGCTTTGTTTCCAGTTCTTAGCTATCACAAAAGTGATGCTATGAATATTTTGATGCATATGGGGATTTTTTTGTTATTTCTTATAGTGAAATCATATTACATTATTCATGTACCAACATTTGTGCCAACATCCCTGAATTGATGGGCACCTGTTTTCCTTCTGGTTCCTTACTACTATAAAAAAGTGCACTTAATTTCCAGCCATATCTCTAGTCTGTAAATGTATCTGGGTTTTTGTCCTTCCCCTACACAAAGTCCAATGTGTGGCATAATGCAAAGTGAAGTGGTAAAGAGACAACCTTGAGACAGGATGACTTCGATTCAAGTCACGTCCTTCATATATACTGACTGTGTGTCTCTGGGAAAGTCACTTAACCTCTCAATGGCCTTAAAGGAATTGCGAGGACTATGAGTCTAGAATAGTTACTATGTCTAGTGATAGAAGGATTTTCCTCTCTGGGCATATGAAAGTTCCCTAAATAGATAATAAGACTGGATGAAACAAAACCCCAAACTAACCCAAATGTGGTTAAAAAAAAAAAACAGATTCAAGTGCTTCATGCAACTCTTTCAACAAGTACTTATTGAGTAATAATAATGACTACCATTTATAATAGCATTTTAAGGTCTGAAAAGTGCTTTACTATTCCTTGGGTGAATGCTTATCAAGAAATAAGGAGAAGTGCTTAAAATGTGAAAGATAAAACTGAACTCCATCTATTCTCTCTCCCCCCCCATTTCTCCTCTCTTCTCCTCTCCCTCCCTCTCTCCTTTGTCTCTTTCTCTTCTCTTTTGTCCTTCTTCCCTTTCTCTCTCTAGGTCTCTCTGTCTCTCTCCCTTTCTTTTTCTCTCACTCTCTCTTTCTTTCTTTCTATTTTTCTCCCTCTCTTCCTCTTTGTCTCTCTTTCTTCCTTACTCCTTTTCTCAATCTAACTCTGTCTCTCTTTCTCTCTTTCTTTCTCATCCTCTCCCTCCCTCTCTCCTTTGTCTCTTTCTCTTCTCTTTTGTCCTTCTTCCCTTTCTCTCTCTCCTCTCTCTCCGTCTCTTCTTTTTTGTCTCCTTTCTCTCTGTCTCTCTGTCTCTCTGTCTCTCTGTCTCTCTCTGTCTCTCTGTCTCTCTGTCTCTCTCTCTCTCTCTCTCTCTCTCTCTCTCTCTTCCTCCCCCCTTTCCCTTTCTCCTCCTGTGCATTCCTTATCTCTTGTAAAAACAGCTTCTACTTTGGAGGTTCAGGGGGTGGAGTTGGAGGAGGACAGCCTTAGTCCAAAAAGCTGGACTTTTTAAGAGGATAAGAAAACTTGCTTGAATTATTGATTCATGGTTTTATAATGCACCCAGGATGGTAAGGACATTTATAAATTTCATGAGCTGTTTAATATCTATTTGTGGAGCACCGCCATGTGCAATCATCTTGGACTCATTATGTTCCTTTGGCTGCCCAATGAGTCATAATGAGGCTCTGAAAATGTAAAATAATGGCTTAGAACCAGAGGGGATGAAATATAGTGAAAGGCAGGTATAAAAGTCTTATTACATGCAGTCTGCGAGGGAGGTTTTATATACTAACGTAAGGAAGGGGCAGCTGGCCTCTAAAAAAACTTCTTTAAAGGGACCAGAGACCAAGGGACCTGGTTGGACAGCCCTAAAGGTGAGAGGCAGAACTGACAATGATCTCAGAACCTCTGCTAATCTACAAAGCAAGCCTAGGAGTTCAGAGGATGGGGAAGAAGGCTATGCAAAGAGCATTCATGGCCGTCACTTGCCCATTCCTATGAGTCGATACTTCAAAAGAGAGATTTTTTTCCCCCTTTTCTGTGCTCCTTCAGCAGCCTAGCATATTGGACAGGAGGCATGGAGAATGCTGTGGTTGAAACTCTGGGAAAGGTAAAGGTTACAAATAGGGGGAAAGGCCTCTCTCTTGCTTCTTCCCCCATAATCACCAAGCTAAAGGAAACCAATTGTAGATAGGATAAGTCAAAAATAAAGCATCCAGGCTCACTGGGGCACAATTCTAGAGAAGTGACCAAACTCTGAAAAGCTGGAGAACATTAAGAGAAGGAAGATCAATTTAGGCCCTAGCAACGAGAAAGAGGCTGCTTCTTTATGAACAGAAATGATGAGTCTATGAGCCTCATGAGTCCAAGAGCAGAGGTGCACGCTAAAGGAAGAGTTACTACTGACAGTAGTCATTGCTACAAATGTGTGTGTAGCTGTTGTTTTCACATTTGGCTAGCATTGGTCTTTTCACTCAGACCTGCACATGCGGATGACAACATCATGAAAAGTATTTCTGAATAGGAAGGGAGTGACATCAGTTCATCCACATCTATTTGTAGTCACCAATTAGTCAGTAATAAGCATTTACTAAATGCCTATGCTAAGACAAAGAAAAGAAAAAAGATAGTCCCTGATGTCAAAGAGCTCATAGTCCAATAAGAGAGACAACATATAAGTAACTATGTACAAATAAGATGTATACAAGATAAATTGGAGATAATCAACAGAGTATTGATAAGAATACTAAGCCAGTTTCCATAATCCTCCTGTGGACCATGCTCTTATTAAAGAGGTTGTACAACTGGCCCTAATAAGTCATTTCTAGCACTGGGGGCAAGGTGAGGGGTGGGAGGACGTACCAGATCCAAATTTCTAGTCACATGTCCTATCTCTCACACATAGCTTCCAGACAGTGGTCTTTTAATGGTCCATTCAAGTTATCCAGCTCAAAGCCCAAACCACAGATGTCTGGATAGCGTCTGACACTACGAAAAAGAAGATGGGCTGCAGAACCTCCGAATACCTTTTTTTTACATCTTTGTTTCTTCCCAGTACGTCTCCTCTCTCCACCTGTCACACCCCCATCATAGAAATGAAGAATTTAGTAGTAAAATATGGAAACACAATCCCACTGCACCTTGCCTGGTTTTCTCATCTGGAACTCTATTTAAGAGTAAATATCAAATTCCAGTGCTTGGGGTTTCTATTGAGGAAATAATAGGGAAAGAAAGGAGAGTCCTGAATGAGGATGAGGTGCCAGGGAGGCTGGTTTTTCTCTCCAGGGCTTAGTAAATAAAATATAAACATTAAAAGGTCAAAAGAAAAAAAAAAAGGAGTTTAGCCCTTATCAGTTAAGGCCTGTCAGACCTATTTTAACTTCTACCTCTTTATTTACCACTTCTTACTGGCCTTTCTCCTCCAAGTCACACATTATAAACATCACTTTGGGTCATCCTCCTACCCCAGAGGTGTGCTGCTAAAAGTTTAACAACTGACTATCCAGAGGGGAAAAAATGCATACCCAGCATACTTTTAAGTTTAATTTTCATTTTAACATTTTCACCATCCTTTTCTTAAGGCTAGACAATCAACAAGGCAATGAATCAAGGCCTCACTTTTAGCTTGCTGATTTTGAGGTGTAAATGTTCCCAGTGGAATTTCAGTGGTTGGTTCACGAGACAGGTTGAGCTGGAGACAGCACGTGTCTACAAGTGCCCATCCTCCACTCACTCAACACACGGTTACATCCTGTTCTGACCCCTCAAAACAAAACAACGAAGAAACAAAACCCACTGGTCTTGAGCTCTGCAGTTGCTGTTCAGGCATTTTAGTTGTATCTAACTCTTCTTGACCCCATTCGGGGTTTTCTTGGCAGAGATACTGGAGCCATTTCATTCTCCAGCTCATTTTACAGAGGAGAAAACTGAGGCCAACAGGGATAAGTGACTTGCCCAAGGTCACACAGCTAGTAAGTCTTGGGCCAGATTGAACTTAAACTCTTCCTGACTCCAGGCCTGAAGCTCTATCCACTGCTTCACCTGGGAGCAGTAATAAGATTCAACTAAAAATCATACCAACTCATCTTAATATGACCTGTAACTCAATCCCCTCCCCCAAGATTCTGGGCTTGCGTAGGCCAAATTCAATCTAAGGATCAGCTCTCTCAATAACAACTCTTCAAGCTATTTTGCCTTCACCCAGAGTTAATTTTGGAAAATCCTATAATCTAGCTCATATCTAGCCCAGGCCTAAGGCTGTACAGATGTTGGTTCATAAAAGGTTCTCTAGATCCCATGCAGGCATTTGAAGTAATATTATGTGTATCAGCTATAGGACAAAAAATATATCGAATACACATAAAAAACTCACAGCTCGTAAACAAGTAACATATAATTCTCTTCCCTCTCTAGTGAGTCCTGGAAGCAGTGGAGAGAGCATTGGCTCTGGACCCAATATTCAAATCACACGTCTATACCATGTGTATGTCTGTGGGTAAGCAATTTAACCCAGTTAGTCTCATTTTCCTTTTCTGTAAAATGATGGAATGCAACTAAATGATATTTGAGGTCCTTTCCATCTCTAAGTCTATGATCTATGGTCCAGGTCTCTGTATAAGGTTCCCCAGGTTCAAAACACCACCATACAGTTGGGATTCTCCTTAGAAAAGAAACAAATGACGTTGCTAGGGAGGCAGCCTTATGGCATTTTGGGGAGCCCCTTTGTCACCATATAGGACTCCAGGCTTACATTATCTCCCTTTGGAGCCTCTACTCCCAACAGAAGGAGAATAAGGTTAATGTTCTTGAAGAGGCAACCCCCTTCCCTTCAGGGGATTACCTGTTGCCCAGGTAATTAACGGTAATAATGAGGGTTGTGGGGGGTGGGGAAGAAGCAACATCCTTTTCTTTCTTCTTCTCATTGCCATTCTTCTGGCTCAGGACTACACATGTGATTCTCTTCTCTGTGAGGTTTGAACTGCCTATTTTGAACTCTTTTTTTTCCCTTGAGGTGGCTGGATTCTTGAACTGTGCTGCCCAGAAAACACCCCTCCTCTCTCTTTAAAGGCTGGAGTTCAGAAGCATGAGTTCTAGGGTCTCTAGTCTGAGGAACTCTGGTTAAGAGGACATGCAAGTCCTATATGGACTGCTATGTAGCACAGTGGATAGAGTATTAGTCTTAGAATCAGGAAGATATGACTTTAAACTCTGCTTCAAACACTTAATAGCTGTGTTCTTGTGAGCAATACACTTAAACTCTCACAGCTTCAGTTTCCTCAGAATGGTTTATCTGCAAAATAGATATAATAATAACACCTACCTCCTGGAATTGTGAAAAATCAAATGAGATAACATATACAAAGCCCTTTATAAACCTTAAAATGCTATAGAAATGCTATTATTATTAACAACAACAATGACAATAACTATAATAATAAATGTTGCTACTTTAAGGAAGCCACTGGTGGTGGGGAACCTATTGCATATCCAGGTCTTTTACTTTCTGAAACCAGATCCAATCTTTTCTCTTTATTCTCTAGTCTGAGTTCATCATTTTCAGAATCTCTCCATAAAATGGGCACGGGGAGGGGAAGGCAAAAGAAGAGGGATGAGATGATTTGGCCAAATACTGTCTTTTATAAATTGTAAACTCCTCCATTCCATTGTAAGCTCCTTGAGGGGAAGGACTGTCTTTTGCCTCTTTTTGTATCCCTAGTACTTAGCACAGTATCTGCACATAGTAGGTGCTTCATGAATTTTGATTGCTTGATTGGCTGGCACAGAAAGGTAGCTCTAATACATAGCAGTTGGAGCCAACATTCCTGATGATCCACAAGAATCCAAACCAAGCAGTTCAGACTGAGACTCACTTACACGTCCTCAGTGGCAAATGAACACCTTCCATAAGGAAATGTAATCAAAGCTCCTAACAAAAGCTCACTTCCCAGTAACCTCCCTGAGTAGTTCAGAGAGCTCCCCAAATGAACACTGTACACCTATATAGCACTTTATGGTTTCCAAAATATTTCTCTTGCAACAACCAGTCAAAAGTTCAACTTCTTTGTTCTTAGATAATGAGAACAACAGGGCGGCTAGGTGGCACAGTGGATAGAGCACAGGGTCTGGAGTCAGAAAGACCTGAGTTCAAATTTGACCTCATTCACTTACTAGTTGTGTAACCCTGGGCAACTAAGTCACTTTACCCCTGTTTGCCTCAGTTTACTCATTTGTAAAACAAGCTGAGAAGGAAATGGCAAACATTCCAGTATACCTGCCAAGAAAACTCCAGATGGGGTCATGAAGAGTTGGACATCACTGAAAATGAGTCAACAACAGCAACAACAAAAATTAGAACAACACACTTTACATTCTTCTATGGCAAGCCAGCTGGAAGCTTCAGGCAGCAAGTGACTTTCATGAGGGTAATTGTAGGCGCATAACCTAAGCCAGCCTGACCCAATGAGGTGAAGATTCCCAATCCAAGCAATCCAAGCACCATACTGTTTCAGAGTGACTCTTGCCATTTACCTCCTGGGTGACTTTGGACAAGTTTCTTCTCCTCTCTTAGCCTCAGTTTTTTTCCTGTATAAAATGGGGAGATTGAACTCAATGACCTCTAAAATTTCTCTTCGTCCTAGATTTAGGATCTGGTAACTTGAGTGCCCTATGCATTGTCCGTTGCTCAGGGAGCCATGGTTGAGGAGGAGAAAAAAGAGGTTGGTCTCCTGAAAAATCTTGTTTAAATAAAAATGGAGCCTTGACCCACCTCCTTTTTGATAACATTTTCGAGATGCTAAGTGAGGAGGAATCTCCCCCACTTCCAAAAGTTCATTATTTGGCTGGTATGTTTTCCTTTGCTATCAGATTTTTTTGAAGTTAGTCGAGCACACAAAGCACTCAGTGCTTATTTACAAAGTCCATACATGAGATAGAAACAAGGCAGTTTGACTAACTGCTGCAGGAAGGGAAGTGGGAGGAGTAGGAGAAACCAAAATGGAACTTGGAAGCCAAATGGAGGATGGGCCTTCCTGAGATTATATCATAGTTCATAAAAGTGGTTAAAATAAAACTAGGAAATGCTTTCCAAACTTTCAGACACTGGGTATTGCTCCAAATGCTAGCCCTGGAATGAAATGTAATAAATATCAGAAAGGGGATGATATCACGTCAAGGGAAAAGTCAGAAAATTCTGCTGGCAGTGAAGAGGGTGAACTCCAGGCTGTGAAATACACACTGGAGACCAAGAGTCTCCTCTTCTAGGCAAAAGAATCTTCTCTGGCCCTTTAAGTTTTCATCTCTCCCAGTCTCCTCTTCTGGTTTTCCCCTTCGCATTCCCCAGGCAGGGAGAAGGCTTTGTGAGCTCTCTGCCTGTCATTCTTTAGGAAACCCCAGTCTCTTCACTCACTCAAGATGTTCTTACTGGAGCAAGAGGCAGCTAGCGTCTGTGGATAGAGCACTGGGTCTGAAGTCAGGAAGACCTAAATTCATATCTGGCCTCAGAAACTGGCTGTGTGACCCTAAACAGGTCACTTGACCTCTGTTTGCCTCAGTTTCCTCATTTTGAAGATCCAATGAGATAATACTTGTAAAAAGCACTTAGCACCTGGTAGGTGCTATATAAATGCTTATTCCCTTCTTCCCTCTCCCTCAAACTAGCACCAAGCCTCTGTCAGGAAGCTTTCTACAGTTAGCTTTAGCCAACTTTTTAATATAGTTTTGATGATCTCTTTTATAGCACAACAATTCTATAATAGAATGGGCAGCTAGGTGTCACAGTGGATAGAGTATAGAACCTAGAGTCAGGAATACTCATCTTCATGAGTTCAAATCTGGCTTCTGATGCTGACTGGCTCTGTGGCCCTGGGCAAATCACTTAACCCTGTTTGCCTTAGTTCCTCATCTGTAAAGTGAGTTGGAGAAGGAAATGGCAAACTGCTTCAGTATCTCTGCCAAGAAAACCCCAAATGGAGTCACGGAGAATCAGACAGGACTGAAAAATGACTTAACAATTCCATAATAGTATTGTATTTTAACTTTCACATTGTTCTTCACTCTAAGCTGTCTTGTCTCCCATGTTGAACTAGGAATTCCTTGAGGTGCAGGCCCATATCTTTTCTTATACATACTACAAATATAACTAGCATAGCCCGTCATACTCCACACCCAAAATGATTACTTGGTTTGTCCTCTAGCATTGCTGGGTGGGTTTTCTCATCCCTACCTTGATTCCAGGTGTACCTAAGTTGAGAGGTCCTTCTTAAAATCATAGAAGGCAGGACTTCTAAAGGATTTCAGCGATCCTCTCTGACCAGGTATCGCCTCTACAACATCCCTGAGACATGATATATAAACCCTGCTTGAAGACATTCATTGACAGGAAATTCACTGTTCCCATTATACTCATTCATTAAGAAGGATGTTCCTCAGGGCAGCTAGGTGGGACAGTTGGGGGCAGCTAGGTGGTGCAGTGGATACAGCACCAGCCCTGAAGTCAGGAAGACCTGAGTTCAAATCTGGCCTCAGATCAAACACTTGACACTTACTAGCTGTGTGCCCCTGGGCAAGTCACTTAACCCCCAAAAGCCTAAAAAAAAAAACCAAAAAAAAAAAGAAGGATGTTCCTCATTTTGAGCTAAAAACCACCACTCTGGTAACAGTTTTGACTTCTGGGGCCTAACAAAACAAATCTAATCCTTTTTTAACTTGATATTCACCTCTTCAAATATTGGAAGACAACTTTCATATTCCCCTTGAAGACCTCTTTTCTCCAGGTTAATCATCTCCAGTTCATTCATTCAATTCTTATTCCCTGCCTCTTTAAAAGAGAGTAATTCAGGACAAATAGGCAGCTGGGTGACGCAGTGAATAGAATGCTGGGCCTGGAGTCAGAAAGACTCATCTTCCTGAGTTCAAATCTGGCCTCTGACACTTACTAGCTGCATGACCCTGGACAACTCACTTAACTCTGTTTGCCTCAGTTTCCTCACCTGCAAAATGACCTGGAAAAGGAAATGGCAAAGCATTCTAGTATATCTGCCAAGAAAACCTCCAATGGGGTCATGAAGAGTCAGACATAACTGAAACAAATGAACAGTAACAATAACAACAACAATTTTGGGCAGGCCAGACTGAATAGAACTAGGGCTTAAACCTACAGTGACCTAAGGATTTTGATATACAGATACCACTATCTTCAAACTAATAAGGTCTTAGAACTGAGAAGCTTAAAACTCCAGTAACTCTCTATTACCATTAGATTCAGATACAAACCCCTTAAAGCCCTTTGAAATCTGACTCTAATATACCTTTCCAACTGTATTATATGTGCACCTTCATGTACTCTACATTCTAGACAAATCGGTCTTCTTGCTCTTACTAACACAACACTTCATCTCATATCTTTGTCTTTCCCTAGGCTGTCCCTCATCCCTGAAATATGCCTTTTCTCTGCCTCCTCTCTTGACCCACCCTAGTACACCCGGACTCTAAGAACAGCTTGGAAGAAGAGCAACATGATAGCTTACATCACTTGGATTAGGTGAGACTCACCATTCGTTAGATGGAGGACCACCAGGCCTTACCATTTTCACTCCCACTGAATCCTAAGGTCCTCTTTATCCTACTTTGCCTGCTTCTGTGCTCTCCCCCAAAAAAGATATTATCATCTGACTTACTGATGCAACCTAAGGACCCCCTAGGCCTTACCCTATATCCAATCACTGAGGCTTTAGGACTTGGGGTTGTCATCTAATTTATAGTTGAACTTTGTTTTATGATTACAAATGTGCATTCCTTAAGAAAAGGGAGTGTTTTGCTCTTTTTTTTTTTTATTAGCATCATCTTAGCACACTGTAACTTAGCTTTAGCACATGGTAACCACTTAATAATTGTTTTTTCATTCATTCATTCACTCATTCATTCATTCAGCCCTATCTCTACCCAATCCCTATCCTCTTCTATCTTCCCTTTTTACTTAGATCCAATTCACTCACAAGTCAAGACGTCACTCTGTGATTTCATTGGTCCTCTCTGAAAATGAAGTATGAACAACAACAACGACAAACAGTAACCTCTGGAGCCTCTGTCTTATCATCAACACACTTTCCTTTTCATTAGGTCTATTCCTCTAACATTTCTTTCCAATTTTTACAGTCATGGAAACCTAGATTTCTGCTATGGGTTGCTCTTTCTCTTATGCCTTTGACAAACTGGGCCCAGAGGAAAAATTTACATACTCCTTATTTTCCGTGGCCACTTCCAGAAAAGCCCTCTTCTACCAACATTATGTATTCTCTCATTCTTTTTAATTTCATTTCATCTATCTATATTACCTTGTTACCATCTGCTACCAGAATTCAGGTCATTTTCTCTCTCTAAGAGGCACCTAGCAGTATAGTGGAGAGAGTGCTGGGTCTAGAGTCTAGAAGATTTGAGTTCAAATCTGGCCTCAGATATTTAGTGGCTATGTGACCTTTGGCAAGTAACTTAACCTCTGTTTGCCTCAGGTTCCTCAAATGTAAAATGAGGATAATAGCATCTACTTCCCAGGGTTGTTATGAGGATGGTGTACCCCATAATCTATACCTCAATGCTACCTCAGTACCCCCATAAAGATTATCACTCTGAACTGTTATATGTCCATAATCTTGAACTCCAAAATTTGCTTCTCTGATTACAGGAGGGACAGGGCTGAGATGGATGGAGTGATAGCCGGGGAGAGGAATTTTTGCCTACGTAGCCTTAAACTTCAACTTTCAGAATTCAGTTTGCTTGTCAAGGGGTAATAGTTGATTGTCATCCTTTCCAGTCTCTGAAGTGCAGGTAATCTTTCTTTTTATAAGCTTGGCCTTTTACTTGTGATTTTGATAAAAATTGAAGGTTTAAGCTCCTGGAGGGGATAGCATGAGATAGTATCAAAAGCACTGGACTGAGCCGGGGGCCTAGTGGCAAAGGTCCAGTCTAAGTGGCCAGATGGTGAGGGTCCAGTGTCTGGGTCCTTGATAACATCAGGAACTTAAATGTGGTTGGTTGAGAGATTATCCCCAGTAAGATACCTCTTCTCCCATCTTCCGCATCTTAAAATCCCTCTATGTTGATCCCTATTCTCTTTTCCTTAACTCCAGTCTCTGAAGTGCAGGTAACCCTTCTTTTTATAAGCTTGACCTCTTTACTTGCACTTGTGATACTATCCCTTCCTGTTTCCCCCAGGAGCTTATGCTTTCAATTTGTTTCTCCCTTTTTCATTTTGTTTCTCTTTGTCTACCAGCTTCTACTCTGTCCCTACAGATGGGTCCAAGTCACCTTCATTCCTGAAAAACTTTTGCTTGATCCTGCTATTCCCACTTAAACTACAATTATATATCTTATCTCTCTTTCACAGAAAACTATTTCAAAAAGGCACCTACATTATTACTCATTATACCTATTAGATTAGCTAATCAGAAAAGGGAAATGACAAATGTTGGAAGGGATGTAGAAAAATTAGGACACTAATGCACTGTTGGTGGAGTTGTGAACTGATCCAACCATTCTGGAGACGATTTGAAACAATGCCTAAAGGGCTATAAAACTGTGCATACCCTTTGACCCAGCAATACCACTACTAGGTCTGTATCCCAAAGAGATAAAAGAAAAAGTGGGGGAAGGACCGATATGTACATATATATTTATAGTAGCCCTTTTTTTTTTTTGATGTAGCAAAGAATTGGAAATTGTGGGGATGCTCATCAATTGGGAAATAGCTGAACAAGTTGTAGTATATGATTGTGATGGAATGCTATTGTGGTATAAGAAATGATGAGCAAGATGCCTTTAGAAAAACCTGAGACTTATATGAACTGATGCAAAGTGAAGTAAGCAGAACAAGGAGAACATTGTATGTAGTGACAGCAATATTGTATGATGATCAACTGTGAATGACTTAGCCATTCTTCACAATACAATGATACAAGACAATTCTAAAGGATTTGCGATGAAAAATACTATCCACTTCCAGAGAAAAAACTGATGGAATCTGAATGAAGATCAAAGCATACTTTTTTTACCTACTTTTGCAACATGGTTAACATGGAAATATATTTTGCAGAACTTTATGTGTTATCATCTATACAAAATTGCCTTCTCAAAGGGGGAGGGGAGGAAGGGAGAGAATTTGGAGCTCAAAACTTTTTTAAATGAATGTTAAAATTTTTTCTACATGTAGCTGAGGAAAAAAATAAAATACAATAAGAGAGAAAAAAGTCACCTACATGCATTGCCTTCAATTCTTTATTTCCTATTTGTCAGTCTCCTTCAGTTTGTCTTCTGATTCTACCACATAATGGAACCTGCTCTCTGATTGGTTAACAAAGATCTTTGAACTTTTTTTTCTCAGTTCTCATCCTGTTTGATGACTGTAGCTTTTGACACTATTAAACATCCCCCTCCCCAACCCCTTATCAACTTCTACGATTCATTGTGTGAATGCTTACATGAACACATGTGTGTGTGTGTGTATATATATGTATATATACACACACATACATATATATACATATAAACATTCATATATGTATATGGAATACTATTTTATATATGTATACATATGTATGTGTGTGTATATACATTTCATTGATCAGTTTTTAAGTCTTTCAAGGTTGTTTGTCTTTATAATGTCATTATTGAATAATTATTTTGCTGGTTCTGCCTACTTCACTCTGCATCAATTCATACAGGTCTTCTCTGGTTTCTTTGAGTCAGTCATATTCTTCATTTCTTATTTCCTCAGCTTCCTGTTACTGCTCTTTCCTGGTCCTCTACCAATCTCTCTGATTGCTTCTTCTAAGGTTTCTTGCTGAATCATCATTCTTCTTCTGACCCTAAATATGAGCACCACCCAAGGCTCAGTCTCTTTTCTCCTCACTCCTGGTGATCTTAGCATTTGCTGTGGGTTGAATTATCATCTTTATGAAGCTGATACCCAAGTCTACATAGCCAGCACTAGCACCTTTCCTCAGTGTCAGCCTTGCATCAACTCCCTGCCAAACATCTCTGCCTGAATTAACCATCAACATCGATGTGTCAGAAGTAGAATTAATCAGATGATTCATTGCTACTCCCCCAAACTCATTTCTTTTCTAAACGTCCTTATTTCTTTTAAGGGTACTGTGACCTTTCCAGTCATTCAGGTTTGCAACATGAAAGTCATCCTTGACTCTTCCCTTTTCCTTCTATTCACCTCTACCCCATAATCAGTTACTAAAGCCTGTCAATCTTACCTTCATAACATCTCATCTATTCCCTTCTCTCTACTTGCATGTTCACTACCCTATTTTAGGCCTTCATTAAATCTCACTTGGACTATTGCAATAGTCTCATAAATTGTCTCCCTGTTTCCAGTTTCTTTCCTCTCCGATTCACCTTCTATACATTTACTAAAATAATCATCCGAAGGCATAGGTCTGAGCACATCATTTCATTGCTTGAAACCCCCTCCCATCCCATTGCTTCCAGGATAAAATAAAAATCTCCCAGTCTGGCATTTAAAACCCTCCACAATCTGGCTCCAGCCTTCCTTCCAGATGTAATTCGTATTATTCTCCTTCATGCATTATACATTCCAGGCAAAATGGCCTGCTATTGGTTCCCTAAACTCAACATTCTATCCATGCTCCTTGCCTTCTCAGAGGCTGTTTCCCCATCTGGAATGTACTCATCCTTAAAAGTTTTATGTTCTTTTAGAACTCAACTTGGTACCACCTCCTAAGTGTGGCACTTGGGGTATCTCCTTTTGTGTGAGCCCTCCCCTAAAACTCCTCTATGTTCAAGGTACACTATACATCCATAGCCAAAATGAAATCAAAATCATAGCTGATGAGCCCTCACAGGTGTGTTTACTTTTCTAGTCAGCCAATTTATATGACCAGTTCAAAGCAAAGGCATTTAATGTAATACAATAACAAGAAAAAATAGCCTAGAACATCTCCCCATAAACTGAGGCACAATCTTCTACCTACATGCAACATCAATGGGAAGAATGGATCTACCCAGGGAACCTAGATGGAAGGATACACATGAAGGGTGCATACATGACTAGAGACTATGTTTGGAAGGCACATGCATAGAGAACATATGTCCAGAGAACATGTGTGTAGAATAATATGCAAGGAATTCCTATGACCAGGGCACATGCATGAAAAGCACATAGGTTGTAAACATATGTGATTGTGGCTACCCTCCTGAACTCACTCAACGATGATTCCCAACAAGTCAAGCCCCCCATGCCATTACTCTTGAACACCTGACTGTCTTTATATAAACCCCATTCCCCCTCCCCCACTGCCTGCTTCCTTTTTCCCATCCCCTTCAAACCAAATGCCCTCCTCTCCTCCGCAGATGTCACACTCTAAAGCTACCCTTCCTTCCACCATGCACTCTGGAATACGTGCCTGTTAAATAACAAAATTACTTTTGTTATAAACCTTTTCTTTTCCCACTCCTTT